TAGAAACATCCATGATGAGAGAGAACCATGGATTGGCTGCCTCCTGCACTACCTGTACTGGCAATTGAGCCTGCAACCCAGGCATGTGCCCTGACTGGGAATTGAGCCTGTGACCTCCTGGTTCAAAGGTCAATGCTCAATCACTGAGCCACACTGTCTAGGCAAAAGAGAATCTTAAGGTCTGCAAGAAAGAGAGAGTTACTGCTGACCCAGTCGCCCCAAACTGCCCTCCTCTGCAGGCCTAGTCACCCCGCCCCCCAACTGCCGTTTCCTAGAGGCCTCATCCCCCCAACTGCCTGCCAATGCCAGTTTGATCACCTCTATTTGCCCTCCCCTTCATACCTGGTTGCCCCCAACTGCCCTCCCTCCCCTACAGGCCCAGTCACCCCCAACTTCCCTCCCCTGCTGGCCTGGTCATCCACAACTGTCCTCTCCTGCTGGCCTGATCGCCCCTAACTGCCCTCCCCTGCTCACCTAAACGTCCACAACTGCCCTCTCCTATTGGCCTTCTTGTGGTGGCCAATTTGTGACCACATGGGGTGGCCATCTTGTGTAAGGGTGTGATGGTCAATTTGCATATTACCTCTTTATTATATAGGATGATTAGATTACCAAAGAGATAAAAGAAGAAGTTAAAAACATCCTGGAAACAAATGACAATGAAAACACAACAATCCAAAATCTATGGGATACAGTGAAAGCAGTCTTGAGAAGAAAGTTCATAGCTTTACAGGTTACCTGAAAACAAAAAACAAAAAAACAAGAAAATCTGGTAATAAATTATTTAACCCTACAAATTACTGAATGAGAAAGAGAGCAATAAGAAAAGCCCAGAGTAAGTAGAAGGAAGGAAATAATAAATATCAGAGCAGAAATAAATGACATAGAGAGCAAAGGATCAATAAAACTAAGAGCTGATTCTTTGAAAGGCTAAACAAGGTTGATGAACCTCTAGCCAAGTTCACCAAGAAGCAGAGAGGATCCAAATAAAATCAGAAATGAAAAGGTGAAGTAACAAACAACCCCACAGACATACAAAGGATTGTAAAAAATTTACTGCAAACAATTCTACTTCAAAAAACTGGACAACCTTGATGAAATCGACATATTCCTAGAAAAATACAAGCTTTCAAAAACTCAATCAGGAAAAATAAAAAATCTGAATAGGCTGATAACTACTGATGAAATTGCAGCAGTAATGAAAAACCTTCCAGCAAACAAATCTCTGGTCTGGATTGCTTCACCAGGGAATTTTACCAAACATTCAAAAAAAAAAACCTAAAACCCTCCTTAGACTATTCCAAAAAATTCAAGAGGAAGGAATAATTCCAAGCTCTTTAAGGCCAGCATTACTCTAATCCCCAAACCAGAAAAAATACACTATGAAGAAAGAGAGTTATAGGCTAATATCCCTGATGAACATAGATGCTAAAATCCTCAACAAAATTTTAGCAAATTGAACACAGCATTACATAGAAATATCTTACACCATGACCAAGTGGGATTTATTCTGGGGATTTAAGGATGGTACAATAAATAAATGTCAATAAATGTGTTACATCACATAAACAAATTCAGAGACAAAAGTCACATAATCATATAAATTGATGCAGAAAAAGCATTTTACAAAATCCAACACCCTTTCTTGATAAAAACTCTCAGCAAAGTGGAAGTAGAGGGATCATACCTCAACATAATAAAAACCTTACTGATAAACCTACAGCCAACATCATGCTCAATGGGCAAAAACAAAAATAACATTTCCCCTGAGAACAGGAACAAGACAGGGATGGCCACTTTCACCACTCTTGTTCAACATAATATTGGAAGTGTTAGCCATAGTGTCAGACAAGAAGAAGAAATAAAAGGCATCCAAATGGGAAAAGAAGTAAAACTGCAATTATTCCCAGATTACATGATATTGTATAGAAAGCCCTAAAGACTCCATCAAAAAACTACTAGACTTAAAAATGAAATTGGAAATGTAGCAGGACACAAAATGAACACCCAGAAATCTATGGCCTTTTTATACACCAATAATGAACTCACAGAAAGAGAAACTAATAAAATCATCCCATTTACCACTGCAACAACAACAACAACAAAAAACTAAGATACATAGGAATAAATTTAAGGAGGTAAAAAACCTGTACTCGGAAAACTATAGGATGTTGAAAAAAGAGAGAGAGAAAGACAAACAAGTGGAAGAATATATTGTGTTAATGGATTGGTAAACTCAACATTATTAAAATGTCCATACTACCCAAAGTACTCTATAGATTCAATGCAATCCCCATTAAAATTCCAAGTGTATTTCACAGACCTAGAGAAAACATTCCAAAAATTTATATGTAATAAAAAATGACCCGAATAGCTGCAACAATCCTGAGAAAGAAAAATGAAGTTGGAGGGATCACAATACCAGTTATCAAGCTAAATTAAAAAGCCATTGTTCTCAAAACTGCCTTGTCCCGACACAGGAACAGATATATAGACCAATGGAACAAAACAGAGAACCCATAAATTCATCCAAGCCATTATGCTCAACATTTGACAAAGAAGGCAAGAGCAGCCCTAACCAGTTTAGCTCAGGGGCTAGCACATCAGCCTGTGGACTAAAGGGTCACAGGTTAGATTCTGGGCACATGCCAGGGTTGTGGCTCAATCCCCAGTAGGGGATGTGCAGGAGGCAGCCAGTAAATGATTCTCTCTTATCATTGATGTATCTCTCTCCCCTTCTGCTCTGAGATCAATAAATATATATTTTTAAAAAGGCAAGAGCATACAATGGAGTCAAGACAGTCTCTTCAATAAATAATGTTGGGAAAATTAGACAGATACATGCAAAAAAATTAAACTAGACCACCAACTTATACCATACACATATATAAACTCAAAATGGATAAAGGACTTAAACATAAGATAGCAAATCATAAAGATCTTAGAAGAATCCATAGGCAGCAAAATCTCTGACATACTAGTATATTCTATCAATATCTTTACTGATACAGCCCCTAGGACAATGGAAACTAAGGAGAAAATAAACAAATGGGACTACAATAAAATTAAAAGCTTCTGCACAGCAAAAGAAACCATTACCAAAACAAGAGAGCCCACTTCATGGGAGAACATATTTGCCAATGTTATATCCAATAAGGGTTTAATCTCCAAAATGCATAGGGAATTCATACACTTAACAAAAGGAAGATAAACAATCTGATCAAAAAATGGCCAAAGGACCTAAATAAACACTTTTTGAAAGGGGACATACAGAAGGCGAAGAGACATGAAAACATGCTCAGAGTCACTAATTAACTGAGAGATGCAAATCAAAATGACAATTAGGTATCATCTCTCACCTGTCAGAATGGCTATCATCAACAAATCAACAAAAGACAAGTGCTGGAGAGGATGTGGAGAAAAAGGAACCCTCATTCACTGTTGGTAGGAATACAGACTGTGGCAAACAGTATGGTGTTGCCTCAAAAAATTAAAAATGGAACTCTCATTTGACCCAGTGATCCCATTTCTAGGAATATATCCCAAAGAATCAGAAGCACCAGTCATGAAGGATATATGCACTCCTATGTTCATAGCAGCACAATTTACAATAGCTAAGATTTGGAAACAGCCTGAGTGCCCATTAGCAGATTAGTGGGTTTAAAAATTGTGATACAATTACACAATGGAACACTATGCTGCTATAAAAAAAGAAAGAACTCTTACCAGTCGAAACAGCATGGATGGATCTGGAGAGTATTATGCTACATGAAATAAACCACTTGGAGAAAGATAAATATCACATGATCTCACTGATTTCCGTAATATAATGAACAACATAAACTGATGAACAAAAATAAATCCAGACCACCAAATCTCAGAGGGAAGGTAGAGGAGGGTGGGGTAAGGGGGAGTGATCAATCAAAGGACTTGTATGCATGCCTATAACCTTAACAAAGGACAGAGACAGTAGGGGATTAGGGCATGTGTTGGGGGCTGGGAGTGCCTTGGAATAGGTCAATGGGGGAAAAGGAAACATATGTAATACTTTAAACAATAAAGAATTTAAATAAAAAAGTAACAAAAATAAATTTTATTTAACTAATTAGGATATGAAGATTTCTTGTTAGTATTTGTTTTAATGAAAACCTTAGTTACTTTTTCTCCCCTTTATCTTTTTCACTCTTACCTTTCTTTCTAAATCAAATCAGACTTGTTAAAAACTCGTCATTATTCATTTTTGTATATAATAATTGTGTTTATTTCATCTATACAAGCGTGTTAACTTTGTCCCATGGTATATGTTACAACAGGACTATCCTTTACATTTAACAGTTATTTGATTCTTCATGCTTTGTTGTCATTGTTTCACATGATTAGCAGGACTTACACTTTTAATTTTAATTGTGTAGATTCGTGTTGTATTATTTACAATTCTTATGAGAACCTGGGAGAACTAGCAGAAAATTGAGCCACTAGCAAATGTTAAGAATCATTTTGATTATTTGTAATTTTTTAAATCACTGCTGGCATTTTGGTATACATTCTTACAGTCTTTTCTATGTATATGTTTGTATATAATTATGTTTAGGTAATGCTTGTTATTATACTCAGAACATTTTCTAATATTACAAAATGTTTTTCAAGGACATAATTTTAAAGCTACCTAATAGACAGTGTGGATATACCAACATTTATCTAATCATTTTCTTAATGTCAAACATTTAAATTAGTTATTTTTTTGCCATTATAACTAATTGATAAATCTGTAACATAAACCTTTATGGGCTTCCTTGACTTTTCTGTAGGATTCCTAGAAAGAGAACCATTTGGTCAAAGGTTAAGAATATTTGTAAAGTTACTACTACAGGTTTTTAAAATACCCTTTAGAAATGTTGCACCAATTTATTATATATCCGATGTTCTTTGCTGTAATAGGTTGCAAGCTTTTTTTCTGCCAAAGTTCCTGGTGTTTGTCTCCTTAATGATTTTTTTTTCAGAATAAGCAGGTGAAAATAACTTTTGGGTTCTCTTGCAAGAATAATAACCAGTTTGGAATAATGATGTATCACAACAACCGACTCATAAAGCCCTTTGAAAAGGTGGGATGCCAAGTGAAGGTGAGTGATTAATTTTTTTTTCATAGAAGACTGAAAAAAGTGGGAAGAGGATTTAAAATTTAATTAACATAACTAATTTAAATGTTTGACATTATATTATTAATGACTTTTACTCCCATCTTATAATGGTTATTAAATATTATCCTGGAATTCAGTGTTACCAGTGAGCCATCTTGTGTTAAAAAATTCTATTTCTCATTCCTCTTAGATACTAATCAACACGGAAACTTTGCTGAATGCATTTTCTAGGTGAATGTTAATAAGAAATAGAATGAGAACACCAGAACTCTGCCATGTGTATAAGTCTATTAGTGTTGAAGGTAGCTTTTTATATATTCTTGGGGAGACAATACAGCATAGTGGAAAATGCATACAATTTAGTGGTTGATGGCCAGGATTTGAGACCTGGCTTTTCTACTTACAAGCTATGCAACCTAATTGCTTAATTTATTTGAGGCTCAATTTCTTACCTGTAGAATGGGAACCACAATAATAATTTTACCTGTTCTGCCTACCTAATGCTTAAAAGGTTGAAAGATTTAAATGGGATAAATTATGTGAAAATATTTTATAAACTGAACTATACAAATATTACCATCATCTTTAATATTTTAATTACAATTTAAAGTAGAAATAGCCACAATTCCATTCATTTCTATTTTATAGATAAGACTGCTAAAATACAAAGAATGACAAACTGCTTTATATTTAACAGTAGGACAAACTTATATTAGACCCAGAATAGTTTTCAGTCTATGTTGATTTTCTTTGCTGTATCATTTTTATACAACTCATATTTGTGTGCTTGTTTAACTACATCTTGACTCAATTCCTTCCATTAAAGAATAAAAAATATTTTTAATCCAAAAAATATCTTGTATCAACTTGTAATTAATAACACTGCAAATCTGACTCATGTTAGTTGATTAGTGGCCTACTTGTTTATTTTAATAGAGCATGATAATTACATAGCATCCTCAAATTTTTTTCAGAGGAAGTTTGGATTGTGTTCCCTAGAACAGTAGTATATAAGTTTGATTTTTTTTAAAGTAGTGTCATTTTTTGTTCAAATGAAATCATATGGCAATATAAAACAGAAGAAAACAAAGGTAGTGTGGAGAAGTAGAGATGGCTATAAACCTTGGAATAGCCTAGATCTATGGATCATAGTTTGAAAATCTTGTCCTAGAACTTACCAGAGGTTGCAGTTAAATGTAATATTTGCAGTCTATTGAAATATATCCTGAGTGTTTCTATAGATCTTGTTGGCCTTACCTTGCCCATAAAGGTTATGTAACCTTTCTTTTATTGTTTGGAATCAAAAGAAAATGCTTCCAGGCAGTCAACAGTAATGTGAGTGTTGAAATTAATATTTTTTCCCTAAGCCAACTCATGGAGAAGGTGTGGGAGTAATTGGAGTCATTGAGTGCAATTTCTTAAAACCTGCCTACAACAAACAAGACTTTGAGTACACCAAGGAATACCGGTGAGTCACTCCCAACCTAAAGAGTTTCTGGTAGTTTCTTCAGATATGAATCTGTTCTATGAAACCTCTAAAAGCACCTCTAAAAATCAGGCAGGTAAATTAACTGATAATTCCTTCAAATCTATTTTCTAAGATGAAAAAGAAAATGATTTGACTTTTTAGAGAGGAAGGGAGGGAGAGAGAGAGAGAGAGAGAAATATCAGTGATGAGAGAGACACATCAATTGGTTGCCTTCTGGATGTGCCCTGACCAGGGCCGGGATCAAGCCTGCAACTGAGATACATGCCCTGGACCTGAATCGAACCCAGCACCTTTCAAGCTGCAGGCTGATACTCTATCCACAGAACCAAACCAACCATGGCAAAATGATTTACTTTTAAATGAAAGATTATATTATACATGATATATGGAGCTTTATATATAAGATTATGTATAAATGATATATGGAACTCAGTTGAGATAAACCTTACCTCAACATTATGTAAAGTGCATGGAAATCATTTAGTAAAATACTTCTAGTGAAACAAAGAGCCTTGGAATTATCTTTTTTTTAATATATAATCTGTATTAATATCACATCTTCTTTGATTCTAGCATACACGCCAGCAGCAGTTTTTCCCCCCATTTTTATTGAATTTATTGAGGTGACATTGATTAATAAAATTATATAGGTTTCAGATGTACAATTCTATATTAGATCATCTACGTATTACATTATGTGTTCACCACTCAAATCATATCTCCTTCCAATATCATTTATCCCCTCCATGCCCTCTTCTACCTTCCCTACCTCCCTTTCCCTCTAGTAATCACCATACTGTTGTCTGTGTTATGACGGGTTTTTTTTGTTTTGTTATCTATGAATCTGTTTTATTTTGTTTGTTAGTTTATTTTGTTCAAGTGCAAGTGATGTTCTGGGTGTATAGAGAGATAAGGTATGAAGACATTTTTCTTTTAAATCTTTATTGTTCATATTATTACAGATGTTCCTCTTTTTCCCTCCATAGCTCCCCCACCCAGTTCCCACCTCACCCCATGCCCTTGCCCCTGCCACTGTCATTGTCCATAGGTGTAAGTTTTTGTCCAATCTCTTTCTGTACCCCCACACCTGCTTCCCTTCCCTCTTCCTCCTCCCCCCCGAGAATTGTCAGTCCACTCCCTTTCCATGACCCTGATTCTATTACATTCACCATTATATTTGTTTTGTACATCAGATTTTTTTATTCATTTGACTTTTAGATTCACTTGTTGATAGATATGCATTTATTATCACTTTGTTGGTCAAAATTGTTATCTTTACCTTTTTCTTCTTCTTCCACTTCTTAAAGAATACCTTTCAGCATTTCATATGATACTGGTTTGGCAGTGATGAACTCCTTTAACTTTTTCTTGTCTGTGAATCTCTTTATCTGACCTTCAATTCTAAATGATAGCTTTGCTGAATAGAGTAATCTTGGTTATAAGTTCTTGCTATTCATCACTTTGAATATTTCTTGTCACTCCCTTCTGGCTTGCATAATTTCTGTTGAGAAATCAGGTGACAGTTGTATGGGTACTCCCTTGTAGGTAACTAAGGGAATTTTTATCTTACTGCTTTCAAGATTCTCTCTTTGTCTTTTGCCCTTGGCATTTTAATCATGATGTATCTTGGTGTGGTCCTCTTTGGATTCCTCTTGTTTGGGGTTTTCTGCCCTTCTTGGACTTGTAAGTCTATTTCTTTCACCATGTAAGGAAAGTTTTCTGTCATTATTTCTTCAAGTAGGTTTTCAATATCTTGCTGTCTTCTTCTGGCACCCCCATCGTTCAGATATTGGTACACTTGTAGTTTTCCCAGAGGCTCCTTACACTATCTTCATTTTTTTTTAATTCTGTTTTCTTTTTGCTCTTCCAGTTGCGTGTCTTTTGCTTCCTCGTACTTGACATCTTTGACTTGATTCTTGGGATCCTCTAGTCTACTGTTTAATCTCTGTATATTATTCTTTATTTCAGTCACTGTGTGCTTAATTTCTGAATGGTCCTTTTCCATTTTTTTGGCATTCCCATTAAGATCCTTGAAGGTCTCACTAAGTTCCTCAGAAGTTTCTAGAAGATTCTTGAGTGATCTAATAACCGTGGTTTTAAACTCTATATCTAGTATTTTGCTTTCATCCATTACTTTCATTTGTGACATGTTTCTTTGTCTCCACATTTTGGCTGCTTCCCTATATTTCTATATATTGGATAACTGCTAAGTGTCCTTGAGTTGATAGAGTGGCCTTGTGTGGTATGTGTCCTATAGGGCCCAGTGGCTTAGCCTCCCCAGTCACCTGAGGTGGACACTCTTGGTGCACCCCTTTGTGGGCTGTGTGCACAGTATTGTTGTAATTAAGCCTTGATTGCTGTTGGTATCACTGAGAGAAATTGACCTCCAGACCAATTGGTTGTGAGGACCATCTGTGTCTACAATGGAAGAGCTTCTGTGTAGGAGACACCCTTATGGGGCAGGACTTGCTTCAGTGGGGTTTTGGTGCTCACTGAGTCTTCCCCTTGAATGTGTCTCTTATGGATGTGAAGAGTTGTAATCTGGTATGGTCTCACACTGACCACTGGGTACACTGGCTCTTGGATCTCCAAGGAGGTGCAAAGTCAGCCACTGCCTAAGGCCACTCAGCAGGAGCTACAGAGAGATCTGCAGATTCCTCCTCTTTATTGGGTTTGGAAGTGCCCAGACTAGGCCCAGCTGTGTAGCAAGGCAGACTGTTGCTGTTGCTGCTGCCTGTTTGACAGGTTTTGAGGCAGGATCTCAGGGAATCTCCTGGGCAGAGCAAACAGCAATGTCTGCCAGTTAACCCTGCACCAGAGAGGTCCCCGCACAGAAAAAATGACTACTGCAAGCACCTCCGTCTAAAAGAAAGCTGCCCTCTTATCCCTGTCCCAATCCCAGACAGTCCAGTTTCTCCCCATATGAGTCTGGGTCCTTTAGAGTCTTGTCCAGAACTGGAGTTCAGAGCAAGTGGAATCTTATATCTCCCTCCCAATTAAAAAAGCAGCGCACTCTGGTGCCAGCCCGTTCCATGCCTCCACACCTCCTACCAGTCTCAGTGTGCTTTCTTATTTACCTCTAGTTATAGAACTTCCACTCAGCTAGCTTTCCCATGGTTCTGGATGATAGTTGTTCTGTCTTTTAGTTGTAATAAAATATATATATATATATATATATATATATATATATATATATATTTTATTTCTTACAAAGAGGGAGGGAGAGGTATAGAGAGTTAGAAACATCGATGACAGAGAACATTGATCAGCTGCCTCCTGCACAGCCCCTACGGGGGATGTGCACGCAACCAAGGTACAAGCTCTTGACTGGAATCAAACCTGGGACCCTTCAGTCCAAAGGCCAAGGCTTTATCCACTGAGCCAAACCAGTTAGGGCTTAGTTGTAATTTTGATGTGGTTGTGAGAGGCAGCAAATACAGGTTTGTTGCCATCTTGGTTCCTCCCCATTTTCTTTCTTTCTTTCTTTCTTTCTTTTTTTTTTTTTTTTTTTACACCTCAGTAGAAATTTTTTAGAATGCAAGAAAAGTAATTTCCCAAATTTTGTTATTTTTGTGTGTGTGTGTGCCAAAACTGTAAAAAAAATTAGATAAATTTTGTGCCTTAATAAGAAATTTAGGATTCATGTCTGACAGAGATAATTTTTTTGCATGGCAACCCCATATTAATTTTAGGGTAATTGGTTCTTGGTCATTGGGGCTATTCAATGGTTATAGTAGTTGCCTGCCCTCAGTTTTAAGTAAAATGGTCTTTTAAATATGAGTCTGGCTCATCATGGAGATCTTTGACTAGGACTTAACTCTTAAAAGTGAAAGTTTAGAAATGATATCAGCTTGATAGCAGTTTCAGAGCCAAGTTATAGTGACTTTCTGCTGATTAAGCAAGTAGTTATGATCTGTGAAATTCAAATGTTAAATATAAAGAATTATTTACCACCTTTCTTATATTATGTTTTCCAAATCCTCATCTACATTTTAAATTTTAGAAGTATTTGATCCTTAGTTTGTGATGTTTAGTTTAAATATGAGTTTGAGGTGATTGAAGGGACTCCAGATATATTGCATCACCTGTAGGTTTATTTAGGTAAACATATAGGATTTCTGGTTTAAGTTGTTTAATAATCTGCTACACATTTCATTAAAAATAGACAACTAGTATCTTATCCTGCATACAATCTTTGAGGATAAATTTTGCATAACTCTTATTCCAAATCTGGCATCATTTTCCGTTTTCACTCAATTTATTTTATATAGAAGGAAAGGTGTTTAGTTTTAAAAAAAATTGAATTAGAGAGAGGCATTAGAGAAGGTTTCCTGCTACCACAAACTCATGCTGAGTATTATAAATATCAAAGCTGCAAATGATAAAATGATAACAGCCATCATACTGCTAGAATGTTTTTATTTTATTTTTTTAATAAATCTTTATTCATATTATTACAAATGTTCCTCATTTTTCCCCCTCCATTGCTCCCCTCCACCAGGTTCCCACCCGACCCTCTGCCCTTTCCAAACACCCCATTGTCCTCATCCATAGGTGTACAGTTTATGTTCAGTCTCTTACCGCACCCCCCCACTCCCCTTTTCCCCGAGAATCGTCAGTTCACTCCCCTTCCATACCTCTGATTGTATTATATTCACCAGTTAATTTTGTTCATCAAATTTTTTAAATTCCCTGATTTTTTTAGATTCACTTGTTGATAGTTACGTATTTGTTGTTCATAATTTTTATCTTTATTTTCTTCCTCTTTCTAAGGAACCCCCTTCAGCAATTCATATAATTCTGGTTTGGTGGTGATGAACTCCTTTAGTTTTTTTTTTATTTGTGAAGCTCTTTATCTGGCCTTCGATTCTGAGTGATAGCTTTGCTGGGTAGAGTATTTTTAGCTATAGGTTCTTGCTACTCATGACCTTGAATATTTCTTGCCATTCCCATCTGGCCTGCATGGTTTCTGTTGAGAA